TATTAGGTAAATCCAACACAAAATATCTTATTTTTATTAAAAAAATTATTATTAAATTATTTAGATAATTAAAAATTCGGTGTTACAGTGAAGTAATTAATATACGTACCACGATATCTCAATGACAATACAACATGAATAATGCGTTGATAAGATTGCATCACTGTATATCAATCCAACTGGCCTAATTTAGTATTTGTTCAAAATAATATATTAAAAAAGTACTCCAACCTTGATAATTTAATATTGTGTGTATATATATAAAAATTTTGAGTTGTGTAATAGAAGATAATTTTTTTCTTCCCATAATAATACTTCACTCATCTTAAAATTTAAATTCAAAATCTTTAACTTAAATTTTAAATTTTTAACTATTAATTCATCTATTGTTATTATGATTATTTTAGCATAGAAGGTGAATTTTTATTTCAAAATCAATTATATCGTATGTTCTATTGTTGCAGATAATTACTACAATTTTACAATGATAATTTGTTGATTTGAGTAAAATAAATTTGATTCTTTTAAATAAAGTTTTAAATTCGAGTTTTGTAAATGAAAAAACAAGTATTATGAGAGTTTTTCTTATTATGAAATCTAACACAACTCAATTTTAAATTAATTAGAATTTAATGTGACTTATAAATATAAAGGTTAGTACAAAAAAAATAAAAATTAAAAGTCAAAGTACTAAAAGGCATTGTCAAATAAAATTTTAATTTACACCCTATCCGATTGCAGAATAAAATAATAAAAAGGCATAATACAATTTGTACACAACAACATTTTCATAAAATAATTAGGTTGGGGAAAAGGTCTCACATTTAGGAAGTCCCCCAATTTAATTGTTAGTTACAATATTGCGCGTGTGTTAAATTACCTATCTCTTTTACTTTAATTTTCACCATTTAACCATGTAAATAAAACTCACATGCATTTTAGTAATCCATCTCACTAATTATATACTCCTCTAAGCAATAATTAAGAATAAAATTTTTAAAAAGTATAAATTAATCACATCAATAAGTGTAATCTTCTAAAAAAATAATTATTATAGTCTTTGATCTAGGTGCATAATTAAAATACACATATTGTTAGGTAGGGTAAATATTAAAATACCATTATAAATATGGAATAGGTTTTTTCTATGGATAAAATTAACCATCAACGATTTGTTGATTTGAATAAAAGAAATTCAATTTCTCTTAAATAAAGTTTTAAATTCGAGTTTTGTAAATGAAAAAACAAGTATTATGAGAGTTTTTCTTATTATATCCGATTTAATTTGATTTTAAATTAATTAAAATTTAATATGATTATCGAAAAGTAAATAGTTGGAGTCGAAAAAAAAAAAACTATAACTCGGCCGTCCCAACAGGAACGGCACGTGTTCCCATAACCACTGAATGCATTCCGGACTGCCTGGCTTTCCACGGCACGTCCGTTTCATTACATATGCAGTTGCCGGCCGTTGGATTAATAAATTAACATCAGTGAGGAAATCTGGCGCCCCAAACTGAGCCACGTCTTATCTTAGCTCACCGTCTGATCATCACTTTCTCTTTCTTCTTCATCATTTTTTCTTAAAATGAAAATCATAACTTTCTTCTTATTTTTTAACTTTAAGTTTATTTATTTATTCTAAATTAATTATTATT